CTTAGTGAACCGCTATTTCCAGAACTGATGACATTTCTTCTCTAGGTCACTAATTTTAGTGAGTACCTTTAAAGGGCAGCAAGAAAGAAAAAGTTCAGACTTGAACAACTCCAATTCCTAATGTCTTATCTGAAAATCACAAATCTACAGCCATGGCAAACATATACATAAAAATCAAATGGGTCTCTATGGCTTTGTCTAGACTTTTATTTCCCCCAAAATATGGCTGTTATTCTGATAAAAGCTATTGCTGCTCCCTGCAGACTTCCCCTGGCCAAAAGGCAAAGACAATTCCAGCTACAGTAACGCTTCTGTTGGTGTTGTGCTCATCCCCATCACGTGTTCTGCACAGCACTGAGAAACTCAGTAGGATCACGAGAAAATAGTAGTGGTGTAGCCTTTCACACCTATTTGACCTGGAATAATGCATACATCTAACAGCATTAATTTTGTACATGCTCATTATTTCCTACCTACACTGCAGACCAATACCAGATTTCCCAGTATTTGTTAGGCCAGAGCCTAACAAATATTTTCTATAGTATGGAAGGAATTATTTGCCTGTAGTGGACTCTTCTTTGTTGTTCTGAGTTTTCTGGTTTTCTGTAGGCACTGAAAGGAACTGTCGCTGCAGGCCCCCAGCCAGGTAATAATTAGCATTGGATTTTCTGTAAGTACTTTCAACCTGTACTGGTACAGTTATCTTCAATAAACTATCCATAAACTGAAGGAATGTGACCAGGAGAAAAAATAACCAGATTTGACATGTTTCATTAGCAAACATGGAAGTTCACAATGTCTTGTTTGTTGGCATCAGCATGGAGATTCAGACCACTATATCCCCTGGAGACAGCCCTCTCTTAGTTTTGGTGTTTTTCTGCCTCTTTCTCACCTAGACTCAGCCTTCCTCATCCGTTATTCCCTGTCTTTTGTACATATTTTTTTTCCTATCAGCTCAGTCTCTCAAATCAAAACACTGTCCTCTTTTAATTTTCCTTCCCTATGTGTCTAGTCCCAGATTTTAACTTTCCTCTAACAGTGCTGAACATGTAAAATTATCTTAAGAAAAGATGTTCTTTGCTTTTTGAGACTTTCAAGCCTAATCAACAAGAGTGGAGATTTAATTGGTGAAACACAGAGTGCCAGCAAGCTGCATGTGATGCCCAAGTGTTAAAAAAATAAATCATTTGTGGGTAGAGCTGCCTTGTTAAGGTTTAGGGCTGGACATGCTTCAATGATCTTAGCCCAGGCAGAGACTGACAAAGCTTGGGAAGAAGAAGGTCCAGTGAAAATGGACACAAAGAAAACGGAAGTTACAGACCAAAGGGACGTCTGTCAGAGCCCCCAAGATAAGGAAGTTCCTGCCGAGCTCCTGCTGCCACCTTTTCTTTCAGTCTTGTGCCCTCTAGAAATGTCTCTAAAAATTGTTTGATTTTCAAGCTATTGGTCCATGAGGTAATGCTAAATAGTCTAGGAAATAATTTAATTTTCAGATAAAGTATGGTTTTCATTCAGATGGTGACCCACAAGAAATTCAGATAGTTGAGAGGCTTTACTGAGCTGCAGACTTAGGAACTCCTGCTCCAGAAACTGTTTCCATGGTTAATTTGACAATAAACTTTTGAGTATGTAAAAAGACTTTTTTTTTCAGCCTCAGATTTATAACCCGTTGGGTTGGCAAAATCTTTTATGAATTCCATAACTGCATTTTGGCCTGACTTCATCTTTCATGCAAAGCATCTATTCTATTTCTGTTCCCCAAACACATCTATTTTTACACAGGGGCTTTGTGTGTCATTCTCTGCATGGTCCTGGCTGCCACACTCCCAGCCTTCATCCAGTCCCACATTTTCCAGAGCATTGTCTTCCCAAAAACTCCTGTCTCCTGTGACCCTATTTTCAAGCTAGCAGCTTCTCAGTTCCTACTATTGTCTTTTGTCTCCACCTGGCACTTATCCCACTGCTTCCAGGCACATACATCTTTTCCTTGTCTTTCTCTTTTGCTTTTCAGAGTATTCCTCCTCTTGTTCCTGCAAATCCAGCTCCCTCCTGGTACAGTTTCTCCTTCTGAATCTGAGCTGAGCTCCCCTGTCTGCTCCAACCCCAGCCCTTGCTTTTTTATGCTGCTGTTCCCATCACTTTCAGCAGAAGCAAAGAATGCCTGTGTGATGGCAGTGTAAAATCATACACTGGGGGGTTTTTTTACTGATAAACAAGGTTTATCCTATTCTCTTTGAAGAACTTCTATTCTAGCATATTTGGGGAAGCCTTTTAAATTGTTTCAGAGAGACAAGAAGTAACAATTTTTTTCCCCCCCACGTTCCCAAATGCTGCATGATTCCCAGGATCTCAGCTAGAACTTTGCAATTAGGCAATTTTAAAGCTTGTCAAAGCTGCAGACAATATGAGGCCAGACAATGCAGCATAGACATAACACAATTAGAGTGAGTGTTCCAGTTATAAAGATGAGATGTGCATAATAGGAAAAGGAGTGACTGAGGGCAGAGGGGGAAATGAAGGGCTCAAATTCCTTCCTCAGCTTCAGCGGTTCTTAAACAATTGTAGGGAGCTGCACGCTCCAAGTGGGTTTGAATTTGTCTCATTACTCTCTAGGGTGGAAAGCTGCTCCTTCTGTCCTTTTCCTTCCCCAGACAAACACCCCATTTTCCTATTCTGGGCTCAGGTTTATTTCTGTTTCTTGTAAAATCATCCTCTTCATGCAGGCATGATCCCTGCAGCTCTTAAAATCCAGAGTCACCATGACCTGATGTAATACAGTTCAGCAAATAAACAAACCAAATGGGATTTGTTCACAGATATTTTTCTCCTCAAGACCATTTTAATTCTTGTGAATCTCTGTTCCTTCAGCTGCCTGACTGCTGGACAGTCCCAGGCAACACTTAACCACTGCCCTATTTCCCTTATTATGGCACTCTCAGGCACTGGAGAAAAAGGACTCTGCCAGCTCAAACTCCAGAGTGTGTCTGATAAAATTGGTATTTATATTTTTGTGCAAAGCCATCAAGGAGCCACAAAAACACCTCTTATTACAGAATGCTCTGCTACCAGGACCCTTTCATGGGGTGACCTCCTTCCACAAAGAGCCTCAGGCTCTTTCTTCATTAGCAAAGTGTTGTAGGGCCTTCTGGGCCCTGTGACTGTCCAGGGGTATCTGATCTAATTTCTTCATTTTAATTATTGCTACAAGAGTAAAGGCAGAAATTCAGAGCAGTGTTTAGCCCTGGGGAAAGGAGAACACATTCCACTTTTCCTGTAATAATTTGGATTTCTTTGAACAATAGACAGGGTGCGAACCAGAACTGCACAGGAGACCTCTACAAATGCTAATAATTTATTTTTAATATGGTGGGATGGTATATATGGAGAAGCAACAGAAAATACAGAGGTAATTATTCTGAATATTAATTTTCGTATTTAAAATTCCTTCTGCAGCAGCTCAAAGGCAGATGACACTCCCTGTTCACCTCACTGGGAGAACTCAGGGTTTAAATAAGGCTTTTGTAACTTGTTAAAATTTCTTGGCAGTTTATTACCTTGGTCCTTAATTACATTCATTTCCCTGTGGAAATTCCTTTGATAGAGATTCTCCATTGCATGGCTGCTGGAAGATTTCCAACAATTCACGGTTTCCCCCATTAATTTCAGACTCAAATATTGACTTGTTTTGGGACTGAAGTGACAGTAAGACTGAATTTCTGATTTGTAGAGCTGGATATACATGTCCTGGGGTATAGTATAAACATTAATTCATTCCCCATTGGGTGACTGAAATGCCTGCTGTCTAGGAGAATTCTCAAAGTTTGTGCTTCAGCAGCAAATCAAAAAGAATAATGTGATGATGGCTTAATGCCTCTAAAGATAATGGAAGTGTCAGAGACTCTTTAGCTCATGATGAGAGAAGCTGGTGAGAGAGTACAGGACCTGAATGCTGGAATTAAGCACAGGTTAAAACACTGAAGTTTGTAGATGGTGGAGGATAAACCCCCTTTTCCCTGTGCAAGCCACATTGATCACTGGATTGCATGCAGTGGTGCAAATAAGTTCCAATGGTTGTGGATGTTTTGAACAAATCTAATTGGACTTGGAAGCAAACTGAAGCTCAAAAGCATTTTCAGACTCATGGTGTCTATATCAGTTTCTAACCAGCTGCCTGCCAGCACTGCTGAGAAGAGATCCCAGTCTGAAGTCACAGCACAGCATCCCTCCTCCACCCAGGGCTTTCCTCAGCCTCACTCTTCAAAAATAAATCCAAGCACCTATTATGAAAAGAAGTTTAAGGAATGCTATGTGGATTCCTATGACAGGAAATGTCCTCCAGGCTTCCCCTGCTTTCAAATTCTTAACTGCCTTCTCATCTGATGATGAAAGTGCCTGTGCTGTGCTACCACAGCTCCTGGCAATTTCTCAGTAAGTAGCTCCCCCATGGCAGTGTGCTCCTATCCAGCAGGTCCTTGTGTTCTGAGAATTGAAAAAAAATCTTCCATTTCCTCAGAAATCTTTGGACGATGTTCATAATTTACCATGTCTTATTATAGAGGGCTACTGTTCTACCCAAAAGGGCTGTTTAATCAGGTCTTTCAGCCATAATCAGATAAGAAATGCCTGCTTTTCCAGCTAATTCCCAGAAATATAATGCCAGTCCATAAAGGAGGAATTGAGCCTGACATGAATGTACTTTTTGAAATCATATTGCTATTAGCCAGAGCTTGCTACATATCTGGAAATAGAGCCTGCAATGCCAGATAGAAAAGTAATTTGCTTTTATTTCTGAAGGACTCCTAAAATTTTTCTGTGATAACTTAACTTTTTACTGGGATATATCTAGTAGTTTCTGTGTTATATGTTGAAAGGATGGAGAGGAATAATGCTTGTTTAGTTTTCATTGGCAAGTTATTTTTCCTCAGTAAAATTTTTGAAGTATGTCTCTAGCAGAAATGTAAAATCCCCCGTGTCTGTTCCTTGCATGTGTTTCCATTCAGAGGGTTACAGACGCTCAATCACAGGAAACAGTCATGGCAACACAAGAGACAGAGAAAATTAACAAGGCACAGCAAAGCAGAAAGAAATCTGTACAAGCACAGAACCCAAAAACTGGGAAAAGGACCCATAATCTACATGGATAGGATATATGGACTTCAGGTATTACTCACCTGTACATCTTGCAACATAATTCCAGCACAGTTGTAGTTTTAGCTGGCTTTGGGGTCAGATGTGGCCAGAAAGGAATCAAAGCACTAAAGCAATCACAATAGCCATGTATAGGGTATAGATATTTAAAAAGTCAATTAAAAAGGGAAAACACTACAAAGGCCTATACATCATAAATGGGGTGGGGGGTGGTTTTTTTGTTTGTTTGTTTTGGGTTTTGGTGGTTTGGTTTTTTTGGTTTTTTGGGTTTTTTTACTCATTATTTGAGATAGAGACAGGGCTGGGATATGGTAAGCAATTATGGTATCCTCGTCAGGAGGTTTTCCAACTCTCAGTACCTTCCCTGATCATTTGGTATTTCTCCTAGGAGAGCAAGTACTTAGGAGTGACCTGGGAAATGGAAGCTTGGTGGGTTTTAGCTGCTGTCAAATTATTCCTATCTATTATTTCTTTAATAAGTTTACCAAATGCAGCACATAAGTGCTTTTAACAGAGACAGGCATTTGAAACCATGGGAGTTTTGTATCCTCACTTAAGACACTTTACATGCAGAGATTATTTCCTTTCCCATCAGAAAGGCACAGAGAAATAACTGTATTTAAACAAGCCTATTGCCATGAATAGTGAACTTTCATACTAAGACTCCTGTCCTGTGCCGTGTTGTTATACTCAGTGTCTGAGGGTTTTTGACTACAAAATAGGGGACAGAGAATCTCAGATTCTAGGTGAAAGAAAGTGGGAAAACAAGGGAAGGGACTGGGCCTGTGAAAAAGAGGGAATGGACAGGAGCGAGATGGGCACATGTGAGACTGCAATAAAAGCTAATAAAATAAAGAAAAATTGTAGATGGGTAGAAATCACAGTACCCCATAGCTCAGCAGCCTTTTTTATCTTTATTTCCTTTCAGCTCCCCCATCAGTGCATCACTCAGGTTATTCATGCATCACCTGGTGCCATTCTGCAAGAGCAGTTTGATTTGATGACCCCAGAACATGGATTCAGCAGCCCCTGTGGACTCCGAGGAAGCAGACAAGGTGAGACAGCAGGGTTTTCTGCAGGCACTCCTCTTCTAAAGCAAAGTGAGTGCTTCCCTGCAGGAAAACCATCTATTTGGTGCACTTTAGTGTGGAGATAAGAGTGCACTATCTGCAAACAAATTATCTCTATTGATCTGCCCAGTTAGGTGTGCCTGCCAACATGTCATTAACTCCCTGTCAGGGCTAGAGGAACCTGAAACCCAATACCACAATTTCAATGCATCCTTCTGGCCACAATCTCATTCCCTCAAGAAGAACCCTGAGGAATTTGCCTTTTCTCTCCTGCTGGGCCCTTTCATATCCCAGCTTGCTATACATATTCCAGGAGATAATAAAGTGTGTGCTTGGAGGGGAGAAGGTTTTTAGGTCAGGTGTTAGTCACAACCACTGGTTAAGCTTTTATATACAAGTGGAGTAGGCAACTGAAACAACAAAAAGGAGCTAGGTGGGAAACAGGCAAACAAACAAACCAGCAGAAATATTAAAGCTTTTTTTTCCTGGTTTCTGCAAAGGATGCACGTTGTAACTGAGTTGGAATTGCAGCTGGGCTCAAAAGTTCATCGAGAAACATAGTCTTTCCTGCTTAGCATATCTCCTAGAAAATCTGAGCTGTTTTCTTGCTTGTCTTGGGCCTAAATTTTTAAAAATAATTGTCTTAATACACTGTGTTCCCTAACATAATTTCTTTTTTTAACACAAACTAACTGTGTTCTCTTTTTTTTTAAGGGGAATTTGAAAAATGTTCCAATCAGTTCTGGAGGTTTACAGTTGACTGTTGGTTTAGAAGACAGTAACTCACCAAAATTATTTCCATTTTTACCAAATGGGGTAAAAACTTCCTCAGGCGGTGGGGAGAGGTGTAGTTTGAGAGGCTGCCTTTGTCTGCCCTCTCAGGAATTCTGGCAGTTGCAGAACGATCTCTTTTGAAGTTCTCCCATATGTTGTATTTAACAAATCAAAAACAAATTCAAATTTTCAGCTGCCTACAAAGATATTGCCCTTAATCTATCGTCAGTGTTCTCCCTTCCATGTCATTCTTCCGTGGTACTGGTGTTTATGAGCCTTTTGTGTTTCAGCAGCTCCTCCAAGTCAGGCTTGTGTCCTCTTGAGCCTGGAAAGAAAGTAAAAGGCAGCACCATTCCCAAAGCCTTTCAGTCACTCTGGAGTTTGCCCTAGAGAGTTACCTCTGCACCCTTCAGAGGTTTTGAAGGAGGAAAGGACCATAAAGGCTTCCTGGTGATGATGGCAGAAGGATCAGGGACAGAAAACACCACAAAATAAGAAGAAGCAAAGGGAAGGCTAAATGTGCAGCTCAGCAGTGCAGTTTCTCAGCCCAGGACAGTGTGGGTGACAAGAGTGGACAGAGTTTAAAGAGGGCATTTGGAAGATGAATGTAAGAGAAATACAGTTGCAGGTTGTTAACTACAAAGCATGCTCATGAGCCACAGACTGTCAGATATCAGGAGAATATTGCAGAATTTTCCAAACTTGTGCTCTCCCACAGGGAGGTAATTCTGGCTGTTGTTGAAGACCTTTGGTCTGACCCAGGAGAGATATTCTTACATTCCTGAGCAAGCAACCACCCTAAGCAGAGCTGGAGGGTGGGGGGTTTACTTTTGGCTTGGGTTCTTTTCTAGAATAGAAGGTCAGAGGCCAAAATGGGACACAAAGAATGAGGGACCGAAGTTCTTCTTTGAGGTGTTTGGTTTTTCTTCTTATCAAAACTTCAAACGTCAAGTGTGCTTGGGTTCTTTAAACACAGCATGACTTCCCATTTTATCTTGCCTCTTTTCTTCTCTAATCTAAACTTATCTCTCTACCTAGAGAGTCCTGGATCCCTTCAAACTAACTTCAAGTATCTGGCTGAAGAATCTATACCTGGATTGAGGTCACTTGGAGGGTGTCCTTGCAGTCAGTGAAACTCCAGTGGGTGATTCATTTCTGAGGTGGTCTGCACCTCCCTCAGGAAACATGAATTCACTATGTGGGAAACCTAACCTGACCTTGTTTCTAATTTAAGAACATTAGCTAGGTGTATAAATTGCCAGGGCCTCAAGTTAGATAGGAACCGAATTTACTACCCTCATATCTTCTGTCCTTTCAGAGATTTAATATTCTCATTTGTCCTGAAAGCTATCAGGTCTTTCCAATTTCTAATCCATAAACCATGGCACAGCTGCTGTCACATGAGTATAAAATCAAACTATATGATAAATAAAAATAATGCATGGATGCTTGGGATCCTCCATTTCCAGATACTTTTCATAGACAAGGAACATTGTCAGGGTTAAAACAAGATTATTGGCAAAATGGAGATATTTAATTCCCCTTAAAATCCACAATTTTGCACTCTACAGCCAACAATGCAGGATCTGCCACAACATGTGGCCAATCTTCATTTTCTAAGTAGGGGAAGAAGGAGCCATCAGGGTTTTATTTGCCAAACTATTGTTATATCTGTTTGTATTGGAATTCTTGTTTGATTAAGTAATTGAGCTAATTTTGCACACAATGAAATGTTGTTATGATGACTTAATTTTACATTTTCCTAGGGAAAAAAAAAAAAAGCAGATGCATAAATGATGTTTTCTGTAAGAAATCTAATGGAATGAGATTCCTAAAAATGAGCACTTAACAATTCTTATTTGTAATACAGAGTACTGCTATGGTTTCCTCAGCTTTCCTTCTGGAAGCATGAAAGAACTTAAAAAATTATTCTACCACAGGCAGCAAAACTCTACAAAATATTGCTACGATTTTTAGTTTTCTCCTCAAGAATTTCATTAGATGAGCAAGAGCAGTTTTGAGTCTTCAGTTTTGGCAGTATCCACACAAACAGTGTGAGAATTAAATGTCGTCTCTCAAGATTTTACAGTTCAGCTTTCATCTGATGAAGGGATGATTCATATAAACTTCATGTTTTCAGAGGGGGTTTATCCAAAAGGGATTTCTCTGAGTGAGGCTTTCATGCTTCCTTTGTCTGGAAGGGTCAGGTATCATCATTTCACAGATGAGAACATTCCTGTCTGAGCATTCTCAAATGTCCACACTGAGACTCATCCCTGTTTCTTCAGCAGCTATTGTCCCTTTCTCTTGAGATGGTCACAAAACATCAACCACCACAGGTCTTCCTACAAAAACTGGTGGTCACACATTTATGTTTTAGAATTACCAAAATCAGGGATTTTACTAGAAGCTGGAAGGATCTTGAAAAAACTCTTTCAGACCCTGGCTGAAGCTCCTCTCTCACCCAACTTTGTTCTCTTCTATAGAAACCTTTGTGCTCTGTTGTAAACAGCTGAGAAAAATTCCATGGAAAAGAAACCAGTCTTTGGGGAAGGGAAGGGAAGGGAAGGGAAGGGAAGGGAAGGGAAGGGAAGGGAAGGGGGTTTCCCATTTCCTAAGGTTCCACTGCCATTGTAATACTCAATGAGTACAAAACTTTGCACAATTGAAAATACTGGAAGCAAAATTGATCAGTAGTATCAAATAATAATTAACCAGACCAGACTCCTGCTTCTTACTGGGAAAAGTCTCTTGGTGACTGAAATGGGTCTCATACTGCAGGTCTGGTTTTGTTAGTGAGGTGCATGAGCAAGTTGCTGCATAAAGCATGAGATGCTGCCTAAAAGAGCAGTATCTGTCTCCTTGAAACAGCTTTTCACACACTTTCTCTGTGTCACTTTATATGTGATATGGTTCAGCTCATTATCATCAACCAAAGACCATAAATAGAGAGCAAAATTTAGCATAGAGAGTAAAAGCTTGCTTAAGAAAGAGAGAAACACGTTGTAGTTAAAACTTATTTATACACAGGCTTTGCAGACATTTCAGATACATTTTAGAGGGAGGGGGGCACAGTTCTTGGATCTGCAATTCAAAGACCATTATCTCGCCAGATTATTTTTTATTGATTAAAATGAAGGGTAAGAGTTTAGCTAAATCTCCTTCCCTTTCTTTTTTCTTCATGATCTCTCACTTTTTCTTTCCTCATAAAGAGCTGGATTACTTTTATCAAATAAGTATTCTTAAAAACAATGATATCCATTGCATGACAGCTAGAAGAAAAATTAATTATCTTTCTCTCCTATTTCCATGTAATCCTCTTTTTGAAAATATTTTTTTCTCCCTTTGTGACTTTCTTTCTGGAATTTTTATTGTGCATCAATACTTGAAATCTCCGAAAGAACATAACGTTCCAAATAGGAAAGAAAAAAAAAAGAACTTATTATGATAAATGCCTTCCAAAGATATTTCTTTTTTTATGAGAATGTGAATACAGACCCTTTCATCAGAATATTATAACACAGATCCTTATGTGCCTCTGAGCCTGTCATTATTTATAAAAATAATGATGTGTCATTGCTATACACTCCTGATTTCAACTGCAATTTAAGCACTCCAGAGAGATACCAGCAGCGCCTAAATCATGAACTCTTTCCTCAACATGCTGTTTCATTTGGGCTGTTCTTCCCTGTCCTGCAGCAGCCTCCAAAACCAGCACCCATGGGGACAGGGGTGATCCTTGGCTCAGCAGCTTCCCCACCCTGGGAGCCAGGAAAGGATGGAATAACAAGAGTGGTTTGCCTTTCCTTGCCAGGAAGGATTGTCCTGTTAGAAAGGCACTGCAGAGGCCTTTGGGAGGTGCTGGTTCAGTTTCTGATCTTTACATATTTCTTGCAAAATGTGAGAAAATAATTCGCCCTGCCTTTTTTTCAGCAGTAAACTTCTGACAAAGCAGATTTTGGTGTTTCCTTCTTTTACTCTCATCTTTTTAAAGCACTCCTATTATGAGGGATCCTAAACAGGAAGATTAGCTTTATGTGCCCAAAATTTATTCCAATGGGAGCTTCACATCAGTGGGGATGTACTGCAGCAGTAATTCTGGAAATATTAATGACTATTCATCAATTATTTATGTAATTCAAGGTTAGATATGCACCAGGGCTTTACAAACAGATAAAAGTCAGCCATATTTCTAAACAAAGAATGATCTT